GCGGCCACTGCACTCCAGTCTGGGCGACACAGTGAGACTCCAACTCAAAAAAAAGGAAAAAAAAAAAAGCAAATGAGAGAGATTCACCTCCCCAAGATAGGGGAGGGGTGATCTTTTCTTGTGGAGGCAACGGGAAGGCACGCTGGTCGGAGGATCACACGCCCCTAGGGCCTCCCTCGCTTCCTCGCCCGGAAGAATCTCGTGCCTGCCCCGCCACGGGCTGTGTCTGAGAGCCCCCATCGCCGACGCTACCGAGCCGACTAGGAGAAGCACCCCGGGGCCATTCCTCTCCCGGAACCGGCCCGCAGTGACGTCACGCTTCCGCCGCCGAGGGGGCGGGGCCAGGGCGCCCCGAGTTGCCGTCGCGGGCTGATGACGCGCCACGCCGTGTGCTCGCCCACGTGTGGTGCTGCTCCCCCGGAGTCGGCCGAATCGTGGCCTTGGCTTTCCCCGGGGGCGCAGTCGGTGGCTGCTCGGGCTTTGGGACCACGGCGGCCTGAGGACTCTGACCACGAAGCAGGGAGCGCAGGCGGCCTCCCGGGGCGGAGGCCCGGCGTCATGGAGCACCTCTGGCTGGAGGTGGCGGCCGCGCCGCTGCGGCGGGTCGCGGCCAAGAACGACAAGAGCCGCAGTGAGCTGGGCAGGTTCTTGGCCAAGCAGGTACGGGCAGGGGTCGGGGGAAGGCGCGGGACGGACCCGGGTCGCCCCCCTCGCGCGCTCCCCGCCCTCCTCCGCGGAGAAGCCCTGCTGCTAGGGAAGAGCCGAGCGGCGTCTTGTCCCTCTGGCCGCTCCCTCCCGGCTGGCCGGCCGCGGGGGCCCCCGCGCGTGTTTGAGGCGCTCGGAGGGAGCCTTTTGTCTCGGTCCGGGGGGCGCCTTCCCGTCCCCTTCCCACCGCCGCGCAGCCCGAGCCGCGCTGGAGCTGCGCGTGGCAGACGTGGCCTTCGGCAGGAAGTGTGGTTGGTGTCTCTGAAATGGAGGCTGCGTCTCTGCCCTTCTGCCATGTGTGCGTGCTGGCTGCGTGTGCGTAGTCCAGCCACCCCCGTCCGCCGGGGTGGGCGAGTGTTTTTCTTCTCTCCCTCCCTGTCGGCTCCTTGGCAGGCATTGATCGCCTTCCTCTTGTGCGTGAGGCACAGCGTGGCACTGCGAGATGGAGACGGAGATGGAAAGAAGAGAAATCCGTTGCGATCTCTGCCCCGAGAGAAGTTTGCATCTGTTTTTGGAGACAGTTCGTGTTTATGAACGTAAAGCAATTGGAAGAACAAAGCAAGATTTAGGGCTCACTGATTGAAACTAACCATAGGAATTGCCGGGTGAACTAGAGTTTTCTAGAGTTTTCTGGGAAATGGTCTTTGTCTTTGACTGAACTTTTAAGAGCTTTCCCTTACTGACTTTCTCTGCCTGAGTTGAGAGCTCATATCAGGCATCTTTTAAAAATTATTTATTTAATTAGTTAAATTTTTACAGAAAGGAGTCCCTCTATGTTGCCTAGGCTGGTGTAAAGCGATCCTTCCACCTCGGCCTCCTAGAGTGCTGGATTAACGGGGGTGAGCCACACTGTGCTGTGTCTGGCTCTGGAAACTTTTTGGGAATAGAAAATGTGTTTTTATTTGTAATGAGAGTATCTAAAGTTCTCTGATTCAGTGGCAAATGCGTTGTCTACGTGTATATTCTATTACTTAGGAAGCAACAGTAGTGTTTTGGGTGAGAGATGAGGAACCTGAGCAGTCTGTAGTGGTGGGGGACTACATGAGAGGTGTGTCTGTATAGTGACAACAAATTAGACGTGAGAAGCAAAGCGAACTTGAATATGCAGCCTGAATTTCTGGCCTGACAAGCCCCCAGCAAAGTTGGAATGAAGGGAATAACTAATACAAATGGAACATTCTAGAAAGAAAACGGATTATTGTTGGGTCCTGCTGAGGAAAGATAATTAGTTTGGATGAGCTGAGCTTGTGAAAGAGCCCTAAATTTTTGTGTTTTTGTTTTTGTTTTTTTTTTGAGTTGGAGTTTCACTCTGTCGCCCAGGCTGGAGTCCAGTGGCATGCTCACGGCGAGGGGCCCTAAATTCTGCAGGGGCCCTAAATTCTGTGTTGTTGCTAGAGTTCTTTTTCTTTTCTTTCTTTGAGTCATAGTCTCACTCTGTCGCTTAGGGTGGAGTGCAGTGGTACACTCATGACCACCACAGCCTTAACGTGCTGGGCTCAGGTGATCCTTCCACCTCGGCCTTCCAGCTTGCTGGAACTACAGACGTGCGCCACCACGCTTGGCTAATTTTTTGATTTATTGTGGAGATGAGGTCTCTTGCCCAGATTGGTCTTGAACCCGTGGGCTCAGGCAACCCTCCCACCTCGGCCTCCCAAAGTGCTGGGATTACAGGCTTGAGTTACCACACCCAGCCTGATTTTGAGAATTTTATAGTAATGTTACTAAACTAGGAAGCTCCTAGAATGGCAAGTTGAGGCCAGGCGTGGTGGCTCACACCTGCCTGAGCCCAGGGGTTCAAGACCAGCCTAGGCTACTTGGTGAGAACTTGTCTCTATAATAAATAAAGAAAAGTTAGCTGGGAGTGGTGGCACATGCCTGTAGTTCCAGCTACTCGGATTGCTGAGATGGAAGGATCACCTGAGTCCAGCAGGATGGGGTTGTGGTGGCCCTGAGCATGCCACTGTACTCCACCCTGGGTGACAGAGTGAGACTTGAACTCAAAAAAAAAAAAAAGGCCGGGCATGGTGGCTTTGGAAGGCCGAGGTGGGAGGATTGCCTGAACCTGGGGGTTCGAGAACAACCTGGGCACCTTTGGCAAGACCTCATCTCTACAATAAATTCCAAAAAAAAATTAGCCAAGCGTGGTGGTGCACACCAGTAGTTCCATCTACTTGGAAGACTGAGATGAAAGGATCGCCTAAACCCAGCAAGTCGAGGCTGCGTTGCCGTGAGCGTGCCACTGCACTCCAGCCTGGGTGACAGAGCAAGACTCCAGCTCAAAAAAAAAAAAAAAAAACCAGAGGGAAACTCCAACTCAAAAAAAAAAAAAGGCCTACCTCGGTGGCTCAGCCTGTAATCCTAGCACTTTGGGAGACCAAGGCGAGTGGATTGCCTGAGCTAAGGGATTCAAGATCAGCCTGAGCAACTCATCAAGACCTCGTCTCTGCAGTATCATAAAAAATCAGCCAGGCATGGTAGTGCACACCTGTAGTTCTGGCTACTTGAAAAGCTGAGGCGGGAGGATCTCCTGAGCCCAGGAGGTCGAGGCTGTGGTGGCCGTGAGTGTGTCACTGCACTCCAGCCTGGGCAACAGAGTGAGACTCTGACTCGAAAAGAAAAAAAAAGGAAAGTTAAGTTGATATAAAGGTGTTGCTTCTCTTTTCCCTTTGCCTCACCTTGTCTGTCAGAGTCTCTAACCTCAGAAAAGTCTTTTGGGTTTGTTCCTTTCTATTTTCAGTAATACTGTAGTTTGAAACCTTTTACTCAAGAAAGAGTTGGTTGTATTGCCATTTTATTTTTTCTCCTATTTTTGGAAGCAAAAATATGTACACATTTTTTGAGTTGGAGTCTCTGTCTTCCAGGCTGGAGTGCAATGGCACTCTCACGGCCACCCCAGTGTCGACCTGCTGGGCTCAGGTGATCTTTCCACCTCAGCCTTCCAAGTAGCTGGAATTACAAGTGCACAGCACCACACACGGCTAATTTTTAAATTTATTGTAAAGACAAGGTCTCACCAAGTTGCCCAGGTTGGTCTCAAACCCCTAGGCTCTGGCAGTCTTCTCACCTTGGCCTCCCAAAGATTTGGGATTACAGGCTTGAGTCACCGCCCCCAACTCCTTTATATTCTGTTAGAGAAACTCCCTTATGAAGTCTGGAAATAGAATTTTCTTTTTTTTTTTTTTTTG